CCAACTCAAGATAGCTGATCCGAATATGTTCCTTTCACCACAGAGATGACTTCAAAATTAAATGTGGATGAAATTAACTTTCTTCAAGCTCAAATAGTGATCAAAAACATATCAAACCAGGGCTCTACTCTTATATGTGCCCTAAAATCACCAAATGTGACTATATGTGTTCTGCGCTGGTTTTTGGCATGATTGCATGTTATATGGCAACCCTTTTGATGTTGAAAACTCTTCTGCTGGAGCGGTTTAATTGCTCGATGGTTCGTGTCATGAGCGTTTCGAAATGGCCTATGTTGCAATGAGAGACGTGGTTGCAAGTTGGTCTGGGAGATTATTTTTAGTGGCATGCATGATAGAAGTAAGGAAACGCTGAAGCAGTGTATTAAAGAGTGGATTGAGCCTTGTACAACTATTTTTTTTGGGGGGATGGCTGGAAATCTTATAAGGATTTAGGAAAAGAAGGTTTTGAACATTTATTTGTGAACTATAGTACGAATTTTGTGGATAGCAAATCTGGCTGTCATATAAACACCATAGAGAGTACGTGGTGGCATATTAAAGCTACGTTCTGCTGTCTGAAGAAACATCTATTATGGCAAGAACATTTTATTTTATTGTTTTTATTTTGTAGAACGTTCTGTTCATTGTTTTATACTATGAATTTCTGTTGGTATGGTTTTTTGAATTATTTGCAATTTATTTTAGTTAGCTTATTTTGTTGATTTGTGTGCAATGTCTAGATTGTGCAATTCATAGATTTTTTTTAAAGTTTAAACAGAATGCTGTGTACATGATATTCGTTTAAATTTGTTATGTTAATTTATTAAAGCGAGGTGTGCGTAGGTCATAGATTCCTTCACTGTCCTATATTGTGCAATTCATAGTTTTTTAAGTTAAAACATATCACTGTGTACATGGATTCTTGTCAAATATTTTTGGTTAGAAACTGTTTTTGCCCCCCCTTTTTTTTTTTTTTTTTTGGATTTTTAACTTAAATTGTGTGTACAAAACGTGGTTTTTGCATGTGCGAAAAACGCGTTTTCGGAGACCTTTTAGTTTTAAAACTTAAAATTTGAAATGTAGACAAAAAATTTAGATGGTAGTATGGCACCATGGAGTTTCTCGCCAAAAATGTTTGGCAAGAAATTTGGCGACCTGAGAGTGCATATAAAAGTAGTTCCCAAACCAGAAGTTGATGGCGAGACCGAAGGAAACCTAAACACACATTCATGTCCCATACAAATTTTTAAAAAATAAATTCCAATTTTTTAAATTGGGCTTGCATATTTGTATTGTCGTTTTATTATTTAATTCAAAAAACAAAGATTTTTATAAATCAAAGAGGGTGAACGTGAAAGAGTTAAAAAAGGTCCAGAAAATCTGGGTCTGGAATAAAATGAAAAAATAGTTGAAAGAGTATAGTACAGGCATGGCGGTTATTCTAGGCGGATGACGCCATTTAAATGCATGTATGAATAAATTGCTCAAAGAAAATTAAAAATGACAGTGGGATACATGAATGTTAGTAAATGAAAAGCATTTATAAAAGGAGGCCGAATATGTCATGCCAGTCTAGAAATAATGTACAAATGAATAATAAAAGGATGGAATGAAATTAAACAACATAATTCAAAAGTCATTTAAAAAATGTAATATAGCCAACAATCAAGATGGATCAGAAGATGATTTATTTATTGATGAGAATAACAATGATGGTGAAGATTAAACAGAATTCGATAATGTGCCTGAAGATATAACAGAAGATAAATATGATGAACTTTTTAAGTTTTCCGATAATGACAATTTTTAAGTTCATAAGGTATGTCATTTCGTTTAAATGAACCACATTTAGGTACATACAGAGATTTTTTCCTTATTTTCAAGTCTATCAGTTTTATATGCGGCATATAATGTGCACCCATAAAATTACACCGTACTTTTTTTTTGTATTAAAAATGCATGTTTATATGATAGAATATACTATATATACACACACACATTTGGTTCGCCCAACTGTAACCAAAAAAAAAAAAAAAAAAAGGGAGGTGCACAACTAGATGTTATAGTAGTCCCATATACAAACTTTCAACATTTAGTGGATAATGATTTTCAAGTTATGGGAGATGCATATATTAGTACATACATACAAATGTAATGAAAACAATTCCCTCAGAGTTTATTTTAAATACTTTTTTTAATTTATTTTGGAAAAAAAAAAAAAGAGTAATTTATTTTGTCCATACCCAGAGACGTCACATACAAAAAAAAGTCATTCAAATAGTCAAAACGGATCAATATGATAATGATCAAAATGGATATTTTCATTGAAATACAACACCTAAAAATTTTTCACACTAACAATACTTTCTTCAAGGAATTAAAAAGACTAGCATCATGATGAGTAAATTCATTTTAATGGCAAAAAAGGACTTCTAGGTAAACAAAACAAAAATATATACAAGATGACTATTAAAAAATTTAGTTGCATTAAGATAATAGAATATCCTTAAGGAATAAACTACTTATAACCTTTTCAAGGGAAATGCATGCAAAATTACATGCAAAGAAACAAAGATCAATTAGTTTATTTCACCAAACAAAAAGGCTAAAATAGCATTATCAATACTCAAGTACTATTTTTTCAGTAAAAAAAGCATAGAGAAAAAGCCAACCTTGGTTTGGCAATTTATTTTCAACATCTTTTCACAATAAGTAGAGGCCCACCAGCGGCCGAGCGGTAAAGTCACTCAACACTGGTAGTTCAGTCCGAGGTTTGAATCCTGCAAACGGGCTGGCTGCATGGGTGTTTTTGTGGTTTTCCCCATGTGTAACATGTATACGAGCCAGTTTCCCTTAGAAAATCCTCCCCGAAGGCATCCCTTCCCTAAGGCAGATAGCCCTAGTGTGCTTTGCCATAATTAAATACACTAACACAATAAGTAGAATACTATTGTTCATTCTACTAATAGTGGCAAAGTAGACAAGATCACTGAACATCGATAATTCAACTCTGGTTTCTGTAAACCGAGTGGCTGCATGGGATTTTCTCATACATAAAAGTAGTATGAAACTTTCCTTTGGTACTTATTATAGCATGAACTCTGACCAAGCAGTACAATTTAGTACCAGTTATGAATAAGCATGATGTCACAGCACGCTAATCTGCACCTTTTTTTTTTTATGTAACCCTAGTTAATTTTGGATAAGCCACCTTTTTGTTTTTACAAATAAGGATATAAATTAATTCTTGTTACTGTTTTTTTCCTCACATTTTTTAAATGACGAGATCAAGGGCTGCAGCATAACATTTGTAACTGCACCCCAGTTCATTTACAGCTAGTCTAAAAAATTAACATTTGCTGAATGGAGAAAAGAACAGCTGGATATGGCTGACAAAAAAATAATAAATAGGAACAATCACCTGTGGGAAGTTTACTCATAGCATTCTAAACAGGTAAAATCAGAAAGTCTAAAAAATTAGATAAAATTGACAAAAACCTTTGGTTAGAGTAAACTTTAAGGTACCCCTTGTATTATGGCGAAGTTATTGTTTCATTTATAACCAAGCTGTTTCATTTATAGTAACCTGAGTAGTTGAATGTTATGGAAAACGTATTGCGACATAATTAATTACATGATTCTGGAAAATTCTGAATCGTGGGACATTTTGTAAGCGCTTTTGTAATGTGTGTTGGTTTTATTGCTTAGACAGTAGAATGGCTGAATGTAGCAAGATTAATTTGAAGTTTCTGTACGATTTGGAATGAAAGGGGAAAAGAGCATTAATTGACTACTGGTGTGTAAATGAAGGTTTACTTAGTAGCCATTTAAGTGTCCTGTATGTAGGAAGGAAGGATATACGTCTAGTCAAATGTAAAAACCGTAGATGGATTTGAATGTGTTTGTAGGAAGAAAGGTTCAGATGTGGCGACGTCGATATACGCATTCGAATTCAGATAATTTTAGGAAGTTTTTGGATGCTGTTAAAGAATTTTGTGTGCTACAGACTAAAGACGAAGGAACTTCTAAATAGGGTATGTGGATATTTGCTTTTTGTGGTGCTTAAATGCATAACATGATTCCTTTTTTATGTTATTTTATTGCTCGGTTTAAAATGTAGTTTATTGAGATTATGCATTTTTTGTTTTGCCTGTATTACAGAATTGGATGTTCCTTTAACTTTTTAAGTGAAAATATATTGACGTATACATGGACAAAGTGAAGGAAATGTGCAATGCAAGTTTGTGCAATTCTTGGATTTTTTTTTAAAGTGAAAATAGGTCGATGTGTACATGGATAAAGTCAAGGGAGTGCGCAATGCCATTTTTGTGTGCAATTCAGGGATTTTTTTTAAAGTGAAAATAGGTCGAAGTATACATGGATACAGAGTTTGTGCAATTCTTCGTCTTGTTATTTTGGCTTTGTGTAGCGGCGATTTTTGCCTCAAAACTCACCATTATGCAAGCCAAAATAATAAGTCAAAGAATTGCACAAACTCTGTATCCATGTACTGCCAAAAATCGCCAAGGGGTACCCTAAAATATACTTTTACCAAACCTTTTAATGAAGATAAAACTAAGAAGGTCAAATACTTCTGCAGCAGTGGCTATTTGGTAGATCATGCAGAGAGAATGATGAATGCTTTATTATAAGAGTTTCAGACAGAAACGAGACTGGCACAATTTTGGCAGGATCTTCCAAATTTTATGCTTGATCGGATAACATGAAAAATACCGAAATTTCTTCATGCAAACATGTCTTCCCTACAGCAAATAGCCCTTTAAACCTTCTATTTCGTCAATTAGCCAATCAACTAATCTTGGTTTTATTTCAATTAATTTTTTTCTAACTCAGAAACTGGAAGTAACTAGAAAATCTGAATTATTAGAAGAAACTAAAGAAATAATTAAAATTTTCAACTTATCCGTCTTTATTTATACATCTTTAAAAAAATAAAAAAACTGAAAATGTGTGGCAAATAAGCTATTAAATGCATTTACCTGAGTAGCACTAGCAAGAGCACTTTGCACTTGTTGAGAGTTCCTTTTCAAAGATTTCCCTGAAACAACTGCTATTACGGCGACTGGAGTCACTGTCATTAATCCAAGCATAGCAAGAGAAGGAGATGTAAAAACCTATATTTAAAATATTTATAATAGTCACTACAACCAAAATTCAAACAGACATCAAAATTCTGTGTTCTATTTTTTAAATATGTTTATTACCAAAATTCTGTTCATATTATTTTAAAACTTATCAACTATGTTTTCTGAAAATACAGTACAAAGTCTGAAACCCGGACGTCCATTATCCAGAATAATCTAAAATCCAGACTCCAAAACAGTTTTTCTTGTAGGCTTACGCATGCACGTTTAATTCCCACCCCCTTTGTGAATAAAACATCTGAAGAGCCCCAATTCTTAATTTCACTTAGACACTAACTAAAATACCTTGTTATTAAATAAACAATCATTTGAGCATAAATTTGTACGATCAGTAATTTAGCTCCGTTGCTAAATATCTTCTTTGGCACATATCTCAAACACATTTCACATAGATACATCGTTGATCTGATGCCAACCTGGCAACTCATTATTATACTTTCCTTTCAACACTGCATGTTTATCAAAACATGACTACTTGAGTAATGGCTCATGAAGTGATGCCTAAACATTTTTTTTATATTAATAATAAAGGAATATAGTAACCTTTTATGTTGACATTAAGCTTGGCAATAATTATGGATTTAAGTTCAATGTGCTAAAAAATGTTGATAAGGAAACCTTTAACATTTTTTTTTTTCATATGCTAAAAAAAGATTTTTTTAAAGATAATTATAGGCCAACAGCGCCAGAGCTTCTATGGCCGCAATGCGTTGCAGAATTTAGGACCAACAGTCTGCATCAGTCGGTCAGATATCTAGCACTGGCCCTCAATAAGGCTAAAGTATATGTGGGAATTTATTTATTCAGAACTCTGATAAGCCTTAAGTATGTGCAAGAAATAGACATAAAAATAATAAATAACTAATACAATTCAGGCTTAATTGTCTCAATGCGCGATAGAAACAAGATAAAATTTAACGGAACAACTTGTCAGTTATTCGCCAAGCTCATGATACATAGCCAAATATGTATAGTGAAGGATAATTAAAAATTTGATGAAGAAAGCTGCAAATTTTAAAGGTTTTCAGGATATTGTAAAACAAAGATGAAGTTTTCCAATTAACGGATTTTGTAAAGAAATGTGGAGAAGCGGTAATAAATGAAGATGATATAAAGGAAGTTTTTCATTGTGATGACAATGCTTTTCAATTATCAATAAATTAATAAATAGAGAAATCTGTAGTATGGTTTTAGATCCAGATAATACAGCTACTGTTAGTGAAGAAAGTAACAAAGTTACTGAAAGTGAGAAAATTTCGATTGAAAAGTTAGTCGGAATTCTCGATATAGCAGTTACAGGACTTCAACAATATAACTAAACAAGAGATTATGTTTGTATACAAAATTAAAGAGAAAGTATTAGCACAAAAAACGAAACAACTTGCATTGAAAGAAATGTTCAATATGGTAAACAAATAAATATTAAGCTTTTTTTTGTAAATTTTGTTACCCTTTACATCATAAATACTTCATTATTTCATAAATCACGATTTCATATTTTTAATTTTATAATTTCTACATGTCATCTTACTAAAGTACTTAAACTGATGATCTAATATCCGGAAAAATCCCAAATACGGGATCGCTGAAGTCCCGAAGAGTCCGGATTTCGGACTTTGTACTGTACTATGAAAATTTTAATCTGTTGAACATCATATTTGCTCTTCCCTTTCTGCTCCTCGTACACTCTCCACTTAAAACAGAGGAGAAAGTAACAACTCACTTCAATGCATTTACAGTATATAAGTAATGTCATACGTTATCAAATAAATTTTACAGCGTATTGAAAAGTATATTTGCATGAGGCAGAGAAACACATAAATTTTATGGTGAGAATACTCATTCATGGCAGTCAACAGGTCAAAAGTATGATTACCATTAGTGATGAACTAGCTATGAATGAAAATGCAGAACGCATTCCATCAGAGACATTATTCGTTATTGATGTTCCCACAGCAGCAGTATCAGATGAAAGCCTGTTAATAAGCTCACCAGTACTTGTACAATCAAAGAAACCAACTTCTTGGCTAAGTATCGACCGATATGCTCTTTTGCGTAATGAATTTACAATTCTATAAGCTGAAAATAAAAACAATATATTCAGTCATGTTAAAAGCATTTGATTTCTTAAAAATTTGATTTTTATTAAATTAAATTACAAAATAATTTTTATTGCGTTAGTTTAAAATTCATGGATTAAAAAAAATTTGAATGGCTCAATATTTTTACGTTAAAATAAACTTTTTAAATATCATCTGAAAGATATTTCAACTTGATAGTTAATTTTATTATGAAGTAATTTTTTATATATTAAAGATCTATCATAGGTAAAAGAAACTGTATTAACTCTTTCAAGATGAGTGTCCCCATATAGGCATTCTTTATGAAAGTCTCCAACAGTCAGGCATCCCACCCACACATCACTGGAGAACTAATGCAAGGGACCAATGATGCATACATGAATTTTAAGCTTAAACAAGTTTTAAAGACCACTAGATGATGTCCTGTGTATTACTCTTAAAGTGAACACAGTTTTAGGATCTCAACCTTAAATTTGATCACCTTCTACATAACGTCGATGTCAGCTGTCCTGGGGATGGATGCAAAAAAGTGTAATGTAAACAAACTAACTCTCACACTACTTATCAGAGGAATGATACACTTGCATGATAAATGAGCCAATTAATAACATGGATGGGAGTGATGATTCCCTTTTCTAAAGAGTTAGAGAACAATGTTTCTAGCGATTCTCGTACAGACAATTTATCAGAGCTCACCAAGTGTCAGTCTTCTACTTCCTGTGAAAGATTTTGTTACTTCTTGTTAATTTAAAAGTTTATTAATTTATATTGTCAGTTAAAACATTGGAATAATTTGACTAGCGCTTTGAAAATTATTTCTCAAAGTAAGAAATTTATTTCACATAATTTCATTCATAAATCGAGTAAAGTAAATGAAAAAAGATTATTTTAACATATATGATAGCTTAAGTAATAATCTAAAATAATACCAAAAGTTATGACTTCTCCCCCCCCCTAAAACTAGGCTTGGCAACATAAAACCCCTATCCCGTGGAATGATTCCTTTCAACTCCCATCCATTCTCATGGAACATCTTAAACAAAGGCATGCTGTCTCAAAAGGGTTGAAAACTTCAGATAAAAATACTTTTGAAAAATTAATGATTTTATTTATTTATTACTCTTTGTTAAAAACAAATTAATTTTTTATATCATATTAAGTTTTTATGATAGAAATGATAGAACAGTAAATAAGTTTACAACACTATAAAATAAATTTACATTGAAACCTCACACAAAAATTATTTTTAAAAGAAATAACTTTAAATAGTAGAAGTTATTTAAATTATCCATAATAAAATATAATGACTGTCATATATTACAATGCCTGCTTAATTTTTACTCACATAAACAGCAAAAAAAATTGCAATACAATGTTTATGAATGAGAATGACAAAAATCAAGAATGATTTAATAGTTAGTGAAAGTATATAGTTTTATAAACTGTTTAAAAACTATGTATGAAATATTGATTTCAACAGACATTTCGTGCATAAAATTCTAATAAACTGCTTTTATTTTTTCCCAGATTTTAAAATATACTAAAAAATCTTTGTTTATCATGTAAATCATCTTTAGAGTTATTACTGCATGTATTTAAATATTCATTAATCCATCTAAGCTACCAATACTAATGATCAAAGATCAAAACTCTCATACAAATTAAAAAATTAATACATTCCAATTACCCAGATCCTTGGGTTCAATGTTAGATACTGAACTGTGTTTCCAAGGTTCTTTCCAAATATACACACAATAGCCGATCCACATATACATACATACTTGAATACACACGGATTTAAAATTTTTGCATCGAGTTTATTAAACTGTGTGGTATCCATTGACTAAAAAAAAAAAAAAAAGGTCAGCCATATAGATTTTTTCCATAAATTTGTTTTCTTACAAAATATTCAAAATGTTTTATGCATTATTTGAACAGTCTATATCAACCATGAAAGTACTTAAACTTGAAAAAACTGGCAACATTTTAAAAATGTGGATAATAAGAAGTACCTAAATAGCTTCAGAATGCTTTTAAGAATATTTTTTAATGGCAACAAAACTTAGCTAAAATTCAAAGCCTTGATGAATGTGTTACTAATGGAGAAGTTTTCATTAAAAAATATAATGATTTAAGAGGAAAAAATCAGAATTTAATTTCCAATATAAAATATACAGGCATGAATTTCTAGTTTAACATTCTAAGCATCATTTACATGTATAAAATATATTTATCAATTATAAAAGAGAAGACTTACAGGATGTATTCATCAAATAAACCCGACCAAGATTTGCAAGAGCTCCTACAGCAAATATTAAAACTAGAACTTGACAATAACCAATCAAACTGTTTTTCATATCTTCTTTGGAAGAGGATAAAATATCAATCAGTTTTCCCACACAAAATGGTACTGCCATGGTGACACTGCTTGAAACAAGCAATAAAAGAATTGCACCTGTTTAAAAAAATATTTACATACATTTAAATAAATTCAGCATTATTCATAATAAAATTTATTATATTTCAGACTTTAAAGAATTCAGATCAAGTATATAGTTTATAATTTAAAGTAAAACTTTAAAATAATTTTTAATTTATTATTTGCAGTGAAACTTAATTCCCCCCCCCCTGTGTTTTCATAGATATTTTTTCATCAAACAAGATTAATTAGATCAAGATCTGTTCAAAATGCATCCTGTACCTTTATATATTTATGGTTTTAACTAAAATTTAAAATGACGTGCCAAAAAAGTGGGTGATTCTGCACTTCACCCAAATTAAATTACATATGCTTTATACATTAAATGCAATAAATATATTCAAAATGCTAAATTTGACTTGTATATGATTTATATCATGTTTCATTTCAAAATTTAACTGTACATCACTAAAACCATTACCAGTGGCAAGCTTAATGATTAAAAAGGCACTGTCGCCAATAGATTCAACAACAGACCAAAACAGTAGTAGATAATTCTAACCAGGCACATAAAAATTAGATTTAGCAATATGAAACCTCCTTTTCAAGAAATATTTTTGAAGAACTTTATGTCACATAAATGAAGGTTAATAGCTTATATTTTAGCAAGAGAATATCAAGATAATGATACAAGTAGCTTACATCTAAAATATTTGATTACACTATTTAAATTTTATGCTTGTAAATAACATAGTTCTTTGTCTAAAATTAATAAAAACCTCTCTAAATTCATGAACATGAATGATTTTAAAAGAAATTTTTACTTTCAATAAAAAACCGAAATGATAATTAAAGGAACATTTTTACGTGTGTACATGCCACTTTACATGCAACGTAAAAGCAATGTTCATCCGCAGAGAACCCGCTGGCGCTTCGGGAAAGAACCCGTTGGCGCTGTTGCATTTTTACTCGCCAAGCTCGCGGGTGCATCGACGATGAGCCAATGCCGTAAATGTGATTTTTAGTGCATGTAAATTCAAGTTAAAAGACAAAACAATATATTAAGCATATGGTAATAAAAATTCACAGATAATAAGCATGTACATGTAAAACTAACCGGTTAAACGTGATATACGAAAATAAATTTGTATTAAAGTTAGCACAGAAAAGAATATATTAAGCATAAGACAATCTATTAGCATTTATAACGGAAATAAAAATTCATTTAAAAAATATAAATTAGTTTTAATATACTGAAATTAACCAGTAAACGTGATATAGGAAAAAAAAATTGTCTTAAATTCCAGTTAACACAGAAAGCAATATATTCCTTAAACCAGCAGTGGTTTGCTAATTTTGATGACCATGGTGATGCATCAAACTATTCTGTCATCTTAGATAATCAATATTTTTTATTTCAATTTAATCATCTATTTATGACATCTGCCATCCTCTGAAAGGTTATTGTTAGAAAAGCATTAACAATATATTATCTTGTTAAAATTTTACGCCATAAAAATTGATTTATTCTCATAATTTTAGATGACAATAACCAATAATAAAAATAAAAGCATTACTTATTTAAAATGCACATGCACATTTTTGCGGCCTACGGAAACTAATTATTTTAGAGGTTAAAAACCTCATGGTTCTTAGAGCTGTTAATAATTAGGAAACAACATGAACAGCCGTGCTACAAATTAGCATTCATCCCTTTCGCCGTATTTGCGGCTAATCTTTAGAATATGGTAACAGGTAGTTTGGTGACATTTTGGTAAGGCGATAAAGTTTACTAGCTAGGACTTCAGCAATAATCTGAGAAGTACACAGTTCAAATCACAGATTATTTTGTCTCAGAGAAATGAGAGATCACGAGACATGTAATGTGACATTTTCCGGAAAATTCCAATGGGGATTTTAGCTAATAAGCACTTAGAAACAATTTCGCTGCTAAAATGCAGAATCGCCCACTTATTTGTTTGGCGCTTTTTACAAGAGTAAGAATTGGATTTTTGTCAATTTTCTTTGATTTTTTAAGTCAAAATAGGTCGATGTGTACATGGATAAAGTCAAGAGTGTGCGCAATGCCATTTTTGTGCAATTCTGAGATTTTTTTTTTAAGGGAAAATAGGTCGACGTGTACATGGATACCGTGTATGTGCAATTCTTAAAAATGCGGCAAGCAGTGGGTGATTCAACACTTTCTCCCAATTTCGCACCTAATCTTCGTCATGTTTAAGCACTTTTGTTCCATAAAAGTTATAGCATAAGCGTAATTTGGCTAGCAGATTGTTGAAAAAAATGTTGAGTAAAAAAAAAAAAAAAACGTTTACTTCGTGTAAACAAAATGTCGTCCAAAAAAAAAGTAGCAGGTTGCTGTAGTAGGGTTGGTCGCCAAAAAATTCCCAAGTTACCATAATGTAAAGATTCACCGTATTTGCATCCTTTCATCCCGAACCAAGAACCGGGAACTATCTACAAAAATATTTCTATCTGTTCGCTGTTAAAAAATAATAATAAATAAGAATAATATAAATCTGCAAATGCGAACAATGACAGTGATAATTCAACAAAATAAAAGCAAGAGGAATGTATGCAAACTTCGAACAAGCAAATAGGATAAATCCGCTGGGTTACCAGGTTTGAACTATTATCGCAAAAGTTGGCATTTTGAACTGGATTATGAAAACCTTGGGGAAACGTTAAACAAATGCAACAAAGGAATTACGTCTCTAAGTGTTAAATGGAGTTCTGCGATTCTCATTTTATAATAACGAATTAAATATGCAACCAAAAAACCGCGCCCTAAACAGTACCATATTATCAAAATTTACCTGACAACCTCCATTTTTCCGGCTTTGCAAGTAATAACAGTCTTTTTAATTCCCCACGGATATTTTTTGGAATTGCACTTGAAGCATGTCTGAGGACAGTGTTTCTGTTTACAAATACATCTTTCAATGCAGAACTTCGAGTTACGCGACTGTTCTGCCATACAGGTGCCTGACAGCATAGTATAGTATATTTTGCGGAAAGCTGTTTATTCCATACAGTAAGAAAACAGTTTTTGACATGACAGGATTGACGTAAACAGTACCACATCTTTACAACAAAAAGTCACTTACGAACAGAAATAAACTGAACCACAAGCCGCTATAAATAGCATAATATTACCAACATCATACAACTTTCCAAGTGTGCCACCGTGAAAGGCATGATGAAATGCAAATTACTTAAAACTGATGCAGATGATCTAACCAATACAGAACTCTACTCGTATGAAAAAATCACAAACTCTAGTTACTCTAGTTCCTATTCGTCATTAAACTATGCACAGATTTGTTTTGCTTCCGCCAAGTCTTTCTTCTCCCAAGCAGAAAAAAAAAAAAAAAAAGCAGATTTAAAAAAAAATAAATAAAGCCCAAGAACTATATTAAAAAATTAAAATACTTCTGTAATATTTCTATTTTTAATTTCCTAAGCAACGGCTTCTAAATCAGTATGAGATTTGATCAGTCTTTATATACCAGTGGCTAAGAATGAAAGAACTGCTGGAAATTAAATTCTCGATTCGGCTACGTATGTATAGTTACGGTGTAAGGATCTTAAGTTTTTCTAACGTTTATTTTATTTTAAATCTTTACTATCACTTCTTACTTTCTACTTCAGGCCATAATTAAAAGCTTTAACTTATTTATGCAAATTTGTCTTGCGAACGCCAAATGCATTTTAAATATAGAACAGGGCAGAGTTCTGTATTTGCGATGCACTGCTTTATAAATTCAATAACTGTCTATGTTACTATCTTTCTAAAGACATGTGTTTGCTTTAAGTGTAATGATATATTGGTGACAGCTTTATAAATTTAGTTTTCTTAAATTTAAAAAGTGGTATTCCAGGTATCCGATATTTAGATGTATCAAGAACTTCTATTACCCGAATTTATTGATCTTCTCACTAAACTGATTCAAATTAAACTTTCTTTTAACTTATTTACATGTTTTAACTTTCCTCTAAGGCCACAGCAGTTGAGCGAATAAGGCCGCTGAATACCGCTAGCAGTTCAGTTCACGTTGGATTTTCGGTAAACAGGCTGTCTGCAAGAGCGTTTTTGTTGATTTGTTTGCTTATTTTATAGAATACCTAATGTCTTTTACCTAATGTAAATTTGAATGTAAATTTTGCTATTTTAATACCTAATGTAATTTTGCCGTGATTGAAAGCAGGAGAGATTAAAAATGAGCAATGCCCTCGCCGTACTCGAACCACGGAACTCTCGGGTACACGTCGAGCGAACACCACGAAGGCATACTAAGAAGGAGGGGAAAATACCTTATATACCCCTTTTTAAAAGGGCGTCTGGGGATTAGGGGTGTAAGGATCCTAAGTTTTACTAACGTTTATTTTATTTTAAATCTTTACTATCACTTCTTATTTTCTACTTCCGGCCAGAATTAAAAGCTTTAATTTATTTATGCAAATTTGTCTTGCGAACGCCAAGTACTTAAGTTGTGGCTTTTTCCAAGCAAGAGAGAGGAAGGAGTGATTAGGAGCAGGCCGCTGGCCATTGCAGTTTTACTAGGTTGCTGGTTGCCTCCAAGGCCAGAGGTTTAATCCTCTTGATAATTTTAAACGTATCGTAGTGTTAACAGTTCTCTGTACTACATACGGCCTTTCTGTTAATATACGGCCATTCTTCAAGTAGACACTTGTTTATTAATCCAAAGTTAGTTTAGTTAGAGTTTAGTTAATATTTTTATATTCTTACGTTCAGACCACAAGTGGTTGGTCTCTGTATTCCGAAGTCCGAAAATCATTGTAAAGAGAGAAAAATAAAGGGTTTCGTATACCCTTCCCGTGTATCTTGTCTACTTCCCACATTTATTGAACATAGCTTTAGTAAGCTCCCTGTTCCGAGTCAAGTCATTTAATGTTCCTAAAGCAAGTAAGGAGGAACATAGAGCCTGATAGTGGCGCCCGACGAAGAAGAATAACCATGGCCGAGTTCAAGAAGAACCTGTGCTGCCTGCAGAAGCGGCTCAGAATCCAGAAATGCCAGCTGCCGCCCTGAAAGGATTTGGTTACATCGTCCAGACCATGCGCGCATCGATGAAACCAGAAGCAACATTTAATGGAAACTTACCGGTAACCAGTTTTTTGGAAAAATTGGAGGACCACTTCATGCTGTATCCCGTGCATGAGTTCCAGAAAGTCACCTTAGCTACCAGCGCTTTGAGGGGCCAAGCGCTTAATTGGTTCAAATGTATCGGCAGAAGCCTCTTGGGTCAAGCGGGAAGTCCCACCTATACTTACGAAAATTTCAAGACTGCCTTAGTAAAAGCCTTCCCTGTCGTAAGAGATCGTGCAATATTAGAAGCGGAACTTTTCAGCATATACCAGAAACGAATTGAAAATCTCTCAAGCTTTATTTTAAGAAAAATTCAAGTCTTCAATCTCTTGTATGGAAACCGTCCGGATCCTGAGATAATTCAAGTGATTTTGCCGAGGTTACTTCCCCAAGTACAAGACTTTATTGAATTAAGGAATCCGACTACACTGGAAATGTTATTTGAGCTAGCAATCCAGTTTGAAAGTAGAAGAACGGCGGACATTGAAAGAAGACGCCAGTATGAACAACGAAACCAATTTGGTGCGCCAAGACCACAGCAAAGTCAAGAACACGGCTACGGAAGCAAAGCGAATCAGTGGGCAAGGAAACCCGAGTATCCAAAAACAACCGGCGAACGTCGACAGTTCAATAGTAATACAGGAAGAAAGTCTGAAGGCCAGTGGAAAAAGAAGAAAAGCATGGAAAGGAAAAAACAAGATTTAAACTAAAACGGATTTCTGCTGACGGGAGAGTGCGGAAATCCGAAAGCCAAGAAAACACCTCTTCCTTCAAGTTAAATACAGTCATGGTGAAATATTTGACTCTTCCAAAGATTGAAGTGTTGGTGAATAACATCCCAGCCACCGCACTCCTGGATACAGGCGCGCAGTGTTCCTGTGTGGCAGAAGATTTTTTAGGAAGTATTTTCGTAAATACCACATATATAATTCGGATAATACGACAGTGTTAGCTGCGCAGGGAGAAAGATGCAAGTGCATAGGTAAATTACCGCTATACGTTCGTATCAAGGACGAACAAGTAAAGATTATGTTTTTTATAGTAAAGAATTTGCAAGCACATATCATCTTAGGGATAGATTTTCTTTCAGAGGCAGAAGCAACGCTAGATTTTAACGAAGCGTCCCTTAAGCTGACGATGAAACCAGTTCGAGAAGAAAAAACAGAACCACCAATGTTAAACCTTGACCACCTGCCTAAGGAAGCGCAACAAAAAATTCGACAAGTGGTAAGTGAATTTGCTTCGTTATTTAGTGATATTCCAGGATTTACTCAAGTTACTAACCATAGCATAGACACCGGAGATTCACTGCCAGTTCGCCACAAACCATACCGATATGATAAGAATAAAGAAAAAATTATAGAGTGGCACATTAGAGATATGTTACGTAAAAATATCATAACGCCCATCTCAAGTAGTTATGCTAGCCCGGTTGTTTTATGTAAGAAAAACAATGACTATCCAGTAACACATCCAAAAAGGTGGCGTTTTGAGATTGACCATCGTAAATTAAACTCCATGACTAAATATCCGGTATATCCGTTACCTATTATTGAAGAAATTCTAAGGAACATAACTTCTACCAACTACATGACTACTTTAGACTTAACGACTGGTTATTTTCAAATAGGAGTTAGACCAGAAGATGTGCCTAAGACTGCTTTTATAACCAAGTCTGGCACTTATGCATTCCTGCGTATGCCGTTTGGCCTTTCAGGGGCACCGGCAACATTTCAGCTATGTATGGACATTGTGCTAAGGCCTGTTCTTGGAAAGTCCACATTTATCTATTTAGACGATATCATTATTACTAGTGATAATTTTAAGTGATAATTCTAGTGAAATTTTATTTTAAATCTTTACTATCACTTCTTATTTTCTACTTCCGGCCAGAATTAAAAGCTTTAATTTATTTATGCAAATTTGTCTTGCGAACGCCAAGTACTTAAGTTGTGGCTTTTTGCCAAGCAAGAGAGAGGAAGGAGTGATTAGGAGCAGACCGCTTGCCATAGCAGTTATACTCGGTTGCTGGTTGCCTTCAAGGCCAGAGGTTTAATCCTCTTGATAATTTTAAACGTATCGTAGTGTTAACAGTTCTCTGTACTACATACGGCCTTTCTGTTAATATACGGCCATTCTTCAAGTAGACACTTGTTTATTAATCCAAAGTTAGTTTAGTTAGAGTTTAGTTAATATTTTTATATTCTTACGTTCAGACCACAAGTGGTTGGTCTCTGTATTCCGAAGTCCGGAAATCATTGCAAAGAGAGAAAAATAAAGGGTTTCGTATACCCTTCCTGTGTATCTTGTCTACTTCCCACATTTATTGAACATAGCTTTAGTAAGCTCCCTGTTCCGAATCAGGTCATTTAATGTTCCCAAAGCAAGTAAGGAGGAACATAGAAGCTGATAATGGTTTTATCTTTTATCAACCCTTTTTAATTTTTAATATCTGTTCAATGTTCAAGCTTAGTTTAAAGCTTCAGTTCAGTAACGCGTTTATGAATTTTCTTTTTCTTCCTTGATAAAGTAAAATTCTGAAATGAATACAGGTTCAGGTTGTAGTGCAGCGAACCCCCAATCTTTAACCATAGGTAAATGAATGAATGAATACAGAAATGTTTAGGAGGAAAGAAATGTTAAAATAGCACAACTAGTTCCTATGACTAATCAATATATTTTTCTAAAATCCACTACATAGCCTCTCTATTCCTTTACAGGTAGCGGGTGTAATAACAAGTATAAGATTCAAAAGCATTTAAATTTTTCTAAAAATTAAAATTTTCGTTGAATACTTAATTTTGAAGGATATCCCACCGCATATTATCAAATTTGATTTTCGTTACCTGCAACGAAGTAGAGTGGGTTACGCCCCAGAATTTCAAAATATTTCATACTCTCAAAACTTAACTTGCGCTACAGCCCGCCAGGTGATATCGATACATCGCAGTTTTTAAAATAAATTGTAATTCCCGGCGGAGGGTACTGGAAGCATATAAATATACCTTACCATGCCACGCACATAGGAAAAACTCCGTCTTGTGAGTAGAAAGATTTTCCTGTGTGATCATTTTCTCTACATTTGAGAGCACTTTGGCATAGTAATGTTTAGACAGGATTTCTACGAAGTTATTTTCATCGAATGACACTTACGAGTGAAACCGACATATGAAAATTGCCCTTTTTCCCTTTGAATAATAACGCCAGACGAAAAATTTTACATGACGATAGCCAGACACTACTTCCCTTTATCCTAGGTTATGGTTCGCTGACTGCGATTCACTAGAGTTTACTACACACTGTAACCAAGGCTGTTCTCCGAACAAACAAAAGAAAGTAGTAAGTTGAAAAATTTCAAGTTGT